AATGTGTACAAAGAATATTGTAACTGAGCATATGATTTAAGAGTTGCTTTTCTCTGTTGGTTTTTCTCCCCCCTCCCCCATCTTCTCCAAACGTTTTATAATGATGTTAAATTGATTAGTGCTGTTATGAAACAAAACTGGTTTAAATTTTAATTGCCAGGCACTCCTAGCACTCACTCCCAGTTTATTTACCAGGTAGCAGACCTCCCAGTGAATGGCTTGAGGATGGTTTTCGCTTGCGTGACTTGAATACAGTCACTATGGGGGACTTGCCTGCTCGGTTGGACTGGTCTATCATGGGCTGCACTATTCTTCTCCGGGCATTAATAAACCTGGAACCAAGAAATTAGAGCAAATTATTATTCCTTTAAAATAGAAAGGGTAGAGGGCATTAAGAAGAGGAGAGGATGTGGAAAGGAAGAACCACAGTGAGAGCAAAGCGAGATTTTGGCAAAATGAGGCCTCCTTGGTTCTCTCTACGGCTCTATGTGCAGTTCACATACTGCAGAACCCGTAACCCCCAGTGACCTCTGAGTACACAGGCTTGGGGTTTCTGAGTTGATTTATGTTTGCCTGTTTTACCACAGTTGGACACTTCCATTTCATCTTTTCATGGGGGAATTAGCAGAGTTTTCAGGAAATAATATTAGCCACCACTCTTTTCAATTGCAAGGGGAGAGAAATTCAACGTAGAGAGCAAGATGTTCATAGGACATATGTTACTTCTCCTAATTAGTAACATTTCAATCTTATGTTCTCTGACTTCTTTTTTTACAATTTTATCAAAACCTTCCCTACCTCTCGCAAACCTAATTCTATTTTAATGCCCACTATTAAGATAATGAACTGGGACAGCAGCACACCATCAAATGAGCGAATGTCTGGAGTTTATCACTACTAACTCACACTGGTGGGGACTTCAGAGAAATTCATTCCTTGTAGAGATTTCTTGGGGTGGCTTTTCTTTTTTCTTTTCTTCGCCCACCCCCTTTATGCATAGTCTAAGGTCAAGGCAAGGTCACAGCAATACAGTAATTGAATTTATAATCTTGCTTTCTCCAGCTAATCCTGAAATTTATTTTAAGACTATATTAAGACATCTAAGTCACTTAAATGTCTTAGTAAGATTTGGGGGTACAGTTTATGGAGGCCCTCAAAGAAAAGTTAACTGCTGAAAAAATTTTAGTAGTTAATATAAACTCTCCAACTTTACCTTCATAAAATTTCTTATTAGCCCTTCATACTATGTAATGGTAAGAATTAGACATCAAATACTGAAATTGAATAGAACATATCAGATTCTGAATAGTTCATTTCTTTTAGTACTCAACTCAACTTAGATTTAAATATATCAAACATTAAAATACAATGAAAAGTTTCATAAGAACTATTAATAATTAAATAATTTATACATCAATATGAATTCTAATTTGTAAGTTTACTAGTTCTGGAAAGAAAATAGTTCCTCAAACCCAACCATTCAACAAAAAGGAAAAGGTTATTAAAATAAAAATAATACTTCACAAAAACTTGATTCTTATTACCTTGTGATCTTTATGCCCTTTTATTGTTTTAGAAGTAATTAAAATAAATAGTGAAACTGGAATCTGACTAAAAGGACACTTGGTGCTAGCTCTTATTCATTGTATATCAGTATTCATATATTAAGTCCCTGAACTACTAATAAAAATATTTAAAACACAGATCTACAACAAATTCTGTTGCAAATCAGGTTATCATTATCTTGTATAAACCATGAAAATTGGAATCATGTGAGCAGAAGGTTAGATTAATTCTCCATTCTCATTATAAGCACAGGTGTAGCACAAACACCATGTGAAATAACTAATTAAAATGAAAAAAAAATCTGCTTTTTCATTAGCTGCCTTCACTGCATGACCAATTAGAAAATTATTTAATATTAATATTCTGCATATACCAAAAGTAATTTTCATAGTAACTAACATAGGTAAAAGAGCAAAATCAGCTCTTTATCTATGGTACTGCTCATAATCTGTAGGTTCTTTGAGGGAAGGAACTCTGTAACTTTTGAGAGTCCTTTTAAAAACATTATAATATGAATATAATTTATATTATTTAATAGGATGACTTCTTTTAAACTGAAGAAAGTTAAAGCTCAAAGAAATTTACTTATTTGAAATCACAAATTATCTAAAAGATGTTAAAATTTTCACCAATGACACATTCTCTAACATCCTAACCAATGCATGGTCAATTTTACAGTGCCATACATCTAAAATATTCCATAAAAAAAGTGTTATCTAAAACTTAATGGGTTCTGTGCCATGCAACAACCCGATTGCTGAATCAGGGTATAAACAGAAGGAAACATTTCTGGAATTTGGGGTTGGGTAGAGGAAGCCATATGGGTGGGGAGGGGCAGGGCATCATCCCCAGGGCTTACTCCTGACTCTGAGCTCAAGGATCACTCCTGGCAGATCTCAGGGAACCATATGGAGTGCCTGGGATAAAACTCAGGTAAGTCAGCCTACCCGCTGTACTATCTTTCCAGCCCCTAGAGACTGGAATGTATCGATGAGTGTATTGCTTCTTCAAACAAAGTTAAGTATACAGTAAGAAGTTTTAGAGTTCTATTTCAAAGTTTGCCTCTTTCACACTTTTATATTCAGATTTCCAGGGACCAATTCATAATAACCAACTCAGGTAGGATTTCATTATTCATAAATAAATACCATGGAACCATAGGGATAATCTCTGAACATAGAGCCAGGAGTAAGCTCTGAGCATCATCAGGTGTAGCCCCCCAAACAATAAATGACTAAATAAAAAATAAAATCATTTCATCAATAGGACTATGCGATAACTGAAATACGTTTAACCTTACTTCCATAGGGCCGTTTTTCAAATATGTATACTATAGCGATTATGCCCCTCTTTTTCCTAGGTTAAATATTCATGATTCTTAAGTAACTTTTAACTGTGAGTTCTAGAATTTTGAGGTCACTCACCATGTGAACCACTTTCTGCTTAACGATACTTTGTCTCTGTTCTTCTGAAGGTCTCTACTAGACAGAACTAAATGCAGTTATTCCCCAATAGAGAGCTTATACCACATCACAGTATCTTAGCTAAGGACCCACAGGTGCTAAGTGCTATTTGTTTCCTTTTTTATTAGCAATCATCATTTGTTGTCATTGACAACACAAATTTAGGCAATCTATAGGACATGTAGGTATCAAAATGGGAGATCATTGACTAATGAAATTAAAACTACCAAACAGTAAAAACCTAAAAATACCTCATTACTTTCTCTGATCATATTAGTAGGTATACTCTAGAACATTTTAATTGAATGCCACTTTCAATATAATGAATATTATCAATACCTATGGACATAATAAGCTCTCAAAATGTTTCTGAGATTCCTATTCTTTTCGGGGGAGTATGGATGGTTTGGGCCACACCTAGGAGTGCTCAGAGATAAGTGGTGGTATTTATATGAGTGCCAGGAATCAACCCAGAGTCAGTTGCATGCAAGACAAGTGCTCTTCCTCTGTATTATCTCTCTGGTCCCTAATTTCTATTCTTATAGAAAACACATCATTATCTGGTGTGGATATCTTTTATTTACCATCTCTTATCATGGATATATTTATCTAAAAATATTTAATAGCAGGAAAATATATTAAAACATTATCATCTTTCCAATCTCAAACCATCTCAACATTTGATTGTCTTTAGTTTATCTCATCATTATCTTAGACTCTTATATGTACTTTATGTAATTATGCTATGTACAGCAAAGCCATGTGTTGGGACAGCTTCAGACTGAATTCAGATACAAAAACATTTTCCTTCTGGGCAAAGTAATAAAATGACATTCTTGCTCCTCCCACTATAAGTCAAACAGAGGTCAGTTCCCCCATCCCTGTATCTGTTTAAATAAACTGGTCCAGCTGTTTGTTTCTAAAATGCCCTTTGACCTTGTGTCTCATCCTCCCTCCTTTTGTGACAGAATGCTTTAATTCCCATTGTGAAAGGTTCTAAATTATAAAGAATTTTCTAAACTTTGTACCACAAAATAAGATCTTTAGATTTTACATAAACTCACACAAACATATTTCCTTCTTAAAATACCTCTCATTTCAAGAAACAGTAGTAAAACCATTATTTAACATGTGTCCCAGTATAAATTAGAAAAATATTACAGCACAAACATAAGAAGAAATTGGTTTTATAGAGTTTTTTTAATATTTAGGATTTTGTTTTATTTTTATTTTTTAAAATTTTTATTAGTGAAACACCATGAGGTACAGTTGTAGATACAAATTTTTGTGCTTGGGTTTCAGTTATACAATGATCGAGTACCCAACCCTGGTGTGCCCATTCTCCATCACCACTGATCCCAGTATTCCTTCCCGCCCCCCCCCCCCCCCGCCAACCCCCTATCCCACCCTCCCTCTGTGGCAGGGCATTCCCTTTTGTTCTCTATAGAGATATTTTGGATGTAATAACAAAATTCCAATTCTAAAAACATAATCGAAAATACATTCTCCAACCACCATCAAATAGTTTAACATGAAATATATCATGAAATAAATAATCTTTAGAATTTTCTATATTTAATAAGATTCAGGATTTTTCAGTTTGGAGTTGTAATAGGAAAACATTATAATGATACAACTGAGGTCTAAACCTTATAGTTCTTAAAACTTAGATGCATATTATTGGTAATATATGACACAAAAGTTTTCCTGACTCATTAAATCATTTTTTATCTCAGTCTGATAGAGCTTAGCTCAAATTTGCCATACATTGAGCACCTAAAAAGACAATAACTAATCACCTTAAAGAGATATGCTCTAAAGGCTTTGAAATGTTTACCTTTTCATGTTACATTATGAACATGAACATGCATATATATATTTTTATTTTTAATCTAACTTTTCTTTGAAAACAATCTTTTATGAAGTTCTTTCTAATAACTGTAACTCTAAAGATTACATTAGTCTGAATTACAGAAAGAATTCTTCTATTTCCCTTTCTCACAGAAACTAATTTCTTCCTATGAGAATACTATCATCTTTCCCCTCACCCACAAAATTTCACAAATAGAAATAAGATAATAAATTGGTTTTATACTTTTATTCAATAAAAGAGATGTATTTCTTTTCTTCTAGTTACTGTTTAAGACTCAAATCCTACCAAGGAAGAGTGAGAGACTGAAAGCGCAAAATCATCAAAATTTCACTTGTGGGATTATCTCAAAATTCAGTTTTACTCTTTGTATTCTAAAAATATTAACCAGATAAGAATAAGAAATAATTCATGATTGATGCTAACAAAAAAT